CCAAAGATAAGGCAATCATATCAAAGGTTTCTTTTTGAGAGAAAATAAATATCTTTGTTCAAAATGAGGCTCTTTTAGCGCATCTTTGCTCTGTTGGAGAATAACATTCAGCATTCATATTATGGGTCAGAGACATATTTGAATTCACACCAATGCAATTCTTTATTTTAAAATAATTTTGCAAAAGCTACTTTGCGACATGTAATATTCCCTGGATACTAAACAAAACAATTTATTAAATACTCTAAAATTGTGCCTTTTTATGAATTTATTTAAAATAAAGTACATATATATGCAGAAAGATCATGCTCATGAACTTATACCAACGTACAGCAAATGCACACAAGATCTTTTCACTGGATGCAATGTTACTCCAATGGCCAAACAACAGAGATGGAATATCCAATCCCTTTTCATGAAGTTCCACAGAGAACACAGGAACAAATAGGCCTACAATCACAAATGCAGACTAACTCATGCATAAACACACAAACAAACAAACCCCAGTTTTTATTCTTACTATTATTATTATTGTAACAAGAAAATCAAAGAATTGGTTTTCTTTGCCTAGTGCCAGTTCCACACCTACAATAATGCGGCAGCTACAGGTGACTGTAGTTCCAAAGTGCTTGCTGCCCGTAATAATGGTAATCCCTGAATGAGATAGTGGGCACTAAATTTCAGTATATGTTTAGATTAGTTCAGGTAGGACAAGCATAGTGCAGTTATAAAATCAGCTAAAGCAAAAACTGAGGTGTGGGAGGCCATGGAATAAGACGCAGGGCCTACTGGGTGCAATTTTTGCAAAATTTAAGTTCACTCAGGAGAAGAAAACAGTCCTCTACTCAGACAGAGAATAGTGCTGGTCGGGTGCCACTTACTTTAATTTAAGATACTAAGATAGTAACACACTCTATGAGGGCAAATCGCTCCACTGTGTCACTCAATTCTGGCCACACGGACAGGATTTGACCAACCTGGAGACAGCAAACAGACAGTGGGCCGACTGTTCAGCAAACACTTCCTTTTTTAATCTCCACGAGTGGCTCTCACACAGAAAGTACTGAACTGGACAATAGCATTGTCCCCAAAAGAAAAGTATGTCAAAAAATATGTCTTGTCATATATGCTTCATTTAAGGTGTTACCTGTTCTGTGAATTTATACTGGTAGGGGATAATGAAGGTAATTCCTTCCTTTGCCATTTTTATTAGGAAATGTGAGATTGTGTCGAGCTGACACAATAGCATGAGCT